ATGCTCCGAGAATGTCTTCATTGTCCTCCGTGAGTCACCTTGTGTCCCTCATCTGACAGAGAGTTAAGCAGTGTGATGAAAACTTTGAATTTGGGTCCCAGGCTACTTTGTCACTCAGCAAAACAGCAGTGATTGAGATTTTTGTTGTCAATGAGTTGAAACCCTAAGTTTGGAAAGGAATGAAATTAAGTATAGAACTTTCTAGGAGGACATAGTCTTCACTTTCAGTCTGGGGAAGACTCCCTTCTGTATTGGAATGCCTGTGCATGTATCACAGATCTTTATGAGGCTATATAAATTTTCAGAAATACTGTGGCATTGTCCTTCTGTGCCTGTGGGTTCTGCATCTGCAGACCCAATTAACCAGAGATAGAAAATATTTGCAGGGGGAAATTGTATCAGTACTGAACACATACCAACTTCTAGCAATTATTTTATAGTGTAGTGCATTAATTAATAAGATAACCTATAGTGTATTATTGTAAGCAATGTGGAGATGACTTAAAGTGTTTAGGAGGATGTGTATGTATGCTGCATGAAAAGAGTATGCCATTTTATGAAAGAGACTTGAGCATCTGTGGATTTCAACATCCATGGAAAATTCTCAAACTGGTCCCACACAAGTATCAAGTAATGATATGGAAAGGAAAGACTTGATATAAGAAATACCTGAAAGGGCATAATTATTGATATTTGTTATGGTTTAGATTTCAAATATCCCCCTAAAGTTCATGCACTGAAGGCTTGGTCCATAATGCATCAGTATTAAGATATGAGGCTCCTGGGAAACAGATGAGGAAAGTTTGTGAACTGATGGACTCATTTATAGATACACACTTAATAGGCTAGTGGGTAGTGGCAGCACAGAGAAGCAGGGCCTAGTGGAGGAAGAGAGCCAGTGGGTGTACGACATTGAAAGGCATATTTTGTCCCCAAATCCCTGTTTGCTCTCTTTCTGCTTCCCAATTGCCATGAAGTAAGCAGCTTTCCTCTTTGCCATCAGGCCAGGTATAGACTGAATCCTCAGAAATTCTGAACCCAAACCTTTCTTTATAAATGGATTACCTCAGACGTCTTGTTACACGAAAGCTGACTGCTACAACCTGGGCAGGAGATGTTTCTACAAAGTCTTTATCAAGCTCTTTTGATGGCTTTGGAAATACACAGTTCTTTTTACTTATACAATGCCTGAGAAAGGGAATACTAATCATTTCAGCAATCCACATGATCCTGCACATTAACAACTCTCCTC